TCTCTCTCTCTCTCTCTCTCTCTCTCTCTCTCTCTCTCTCTCTCTCTCTCTCTCTCTCTCTCTCTCTCTCTCTGTGCGCGTTTGGATATGACAGAAAGCCGGGAATGAATCTTACCGTCGACAGCGGGAAGATTCATTCACCTTGCTGTCGACGGTAAGATTCATTCCCTTTTTTTTTCACAACCGAACGTGCGAATGAAAAGAAGGGGAATGAATGCCCGGCGAACGCGCTGGGACTCTCTCTCTCTCTCTCTCTCTCTCTCTCTCTCTCTCTCTCTCTCTCTCTCTGGGCGCCGCTCCACTACTCTGGATATGCACAAAAGACAAAAATCATGGCCGTGTATCTTGCCATGTTCTAGCGGAAGATTCACTCTCGTTTTGCACATTTCGAAAGTGCAGCGAGGCCCTCTCTCTCTCTCTCTCTCTCTGTGCGTCGCTGAGTCTTACCACCGCATCGCGCGCCGTGCTTTTCCTTTGTTTTTGTTTTATTTTGAATCTCCTTTTTTTTTTTTCTGTTTTTTCTCTTTTCATTTCTGGTTTTCTTTTTTTTAATCGGCGACCGGCCGTTCGGACGCCCGACCACCTAAAGTCGCGGCGCGTATGCGGCTGCAACTTTTTTTTATAGCTGGTAGAGGTACTGGTGGTTTAACTTCAGCATTCCCACGACTGTGTGCCTCCATGGTCCTGCTAGAAACCGCACTCGACCGGTCACACTACCGATTACCGCCATTATTCTCAGACGTCACAAGCGTCCGGGCTAAGGTAAAAGGTTATAGTCTCTCGGTCATAGGCTAGTCTGAATAAACTTCTGCCAGACGTCAGTCTCATCAAGTCCCTCAATTCCATGAAAAAGTCGGACAGCGTCCAACATTGAAAAACCCGAGCAAATACCCTTGTAAGGGTTTCTGCTCCGACACTGGCATGGACCCAAACAACAGTTCTGTCCATCCCCGTTTTTCCTCTTCAATTTTTCTGTTTTGGGGCCCTATCCGGATGCACTGGACTGGACATGTAGAGCCACCCGGGCGGGACCGTGATCCAATGTCCAGATCATAAGCATGCTTTTTTTGCATCACATTTCTACTCTGCATCTGTTTCTTTCATTTTCCTCAGTGTTCTCAAAAGACTGCCTGAAGGTTTTTTTTTCTTGCTTCGTCTTTCACATAATTACAGGGTGGACCCAGGTGGATAATCGCTAGGGTAACGAAACCATGCAATGAGTTCTATTATTTCATTACAATAATTTTGTTGCAAAAATGATTGGAAAATCTAGGTGCAAACTGTGCAATTAAATTTGCTAAGAAACAGCCAAAAATCTACTGCAATAAGGTCGTCAATCTGGGAAGTAAAATTTGATAAAAGCTCTTTTGCCATAGGACTTTCAAAGTAATGCCCGGAGGCCTTTCGTAACTCTTCTGTTTTGTTTCTTATTCCAGGGTGGTGACTAATTGCTTGGAAAATGAAACCGGGCAGAGGAATCCAGAGGACTGCAACGAGTTCTATCACAATGGATCTATTGCAGGTAGGTGTGAGTTATCAAAACACAGTATGCAAACACTGAGCTCAAGCTTTTAAATTCTCAGGCTGAGCCTATTCTCGAGGACTTGGATCCTGTCTTGTTTTCAGGGCCTCTATTTTGTCTTTTCTAGCAACTATTTTTTTCTGAAGCTTGGATCCACAGATGATTTTCTCATAAATTCGTAATAATCATCTAATAATGATAACTTCATAGTGGATCTTAGTGCTTGAAATGTCTGTCCATTATCTGACCCTTCCATTTCAGGGCTGCTGTTCCCTTTCCCCTCATCTTTCTCTCCCACATTTTTCCTTCATTGCACTTATTGCTGTAACTTGTGCGCCAAATCGAGCCACTGGGTCCTCGCCGCGCCCGCAGACAAGCACAAATGGATAGGCTTGGAAATAGAGGGGTCAAATGTGCCTCAGAAATTGCCCAGGCCGACAGTTGACCGAAAAGTCAACAGTCAGCTCATGGACCCAGGCCGAGATTCGAGAAGTCAAAGTCAGCACAGAAGATTTTCCTGGCCGTTGATCTGGAATGATCTAACAGTGGTCTGCAGGTTTTGGCAGATTCAGGCATCAAGAAGTCCAGACCGAAACCGGGACAAAGCGGAAGATCCGGGCCCTCACATGGACCGACGCTGACCGTGGACAGGCGAGTCGACACTATATTGAGTTGACCTCGACACTGCTTGGGTATTCAGTCTTGCGAGTTGCTTGCAGCTACGAGGCTGCACGTGAGACTTGAGAGGAGGTGCTGGCGCCAGGCTGCTGGATGGGCGGCAGCCAGACACTTCAGTATAGAGAGAGGGAAAGGCCGGCCACGGCCGCGACCGTAGATGACGGCGAGGGAATGAGGAGAGGGAGAGAGAGAGTGTGGGTGATTTGAGTCATCGTGCGTACGTACCTGGTTTCTTCAGATGTGAAGCTGCTGCCGATTCTGCTCGCTGTTGGAGGATTGTTTATCTGCGAGGGGCTGCTTCCACATCGTCCACGTGTTACACCGAGTGCTGACGTGGCACATTGAGTGCATATTGCTGACGTGGCACATTGAGTGCATATTGCTGATGTGGCACATTGAGTGCATATTGCTGATGTGGCACATTGTGTGCATATCGCTGACGCTGATGTGGCATATTGAGTACGGAGTGCTAACGTCCCACATTGAGTGCATATTGCTGACATGGCGCATTGTAGTACAGATTGCTGACGTGGCAGAGGTGGGGAGCCTGAAGGAGAAGAGGGCATTACACTTCTCCTTCCAACTGTTTGTTCTCCCCTCCTCTCTTTTCTGGATATTGTGGACTTTGAGACATACGCATGGTAATGAGGAAACATGTACTTCAATGACATCGAACTGATGGACTTATTTTATTGATTATCTCATGACATTGCACGACATTGTTATCTGCGGCATGATTGGATGACGAGACTGGGTTCATTACATTATGGTGGTGTCCAAGTAAAATTGAGGTTGCAGGTTGGTTATTCGTATCCTGCAGTGTTTCGATTTGTGGCCGGGATTTGATCGTATGGTTGATCTTCATGAGCAGTATGAAGTCCTGTTTTAGCCACCGCTTCACATCAATAGACGTATTTCTGACTATGGCTCCTTTTATTCAAGGAGTGCAGCTCAGTTTCTTTTATCTCGGCAACTTGAATAGCAAATGTATTCCCACAATACAACAGCTCTCAGGTCCCCGGGAGCGAGTTTCCAGCAGGTGCAGTTCCAAGCAGAACTCAGAAGAAGTAATAATGATGGTGGCAATAACCAAAAACCTAGGCCGGTCCCCGTGCCGCCCGGTGGCCTGGCCGTCGCCTGGGAGGGGTGCCGGGCCGCCTGGCCGGTTGTCTCGCCCGGTTGGCCACCGGCCCCCCCCAGCGCATCACTGTAGGTAAGTGTTTTTTTTTTGTTTCGGCGCTGGGGCCCTTTTTGCCCCCTTCATAGACCGTGTGGACCGCGAAAAAAAAAAAAAAACGGGGCCGGTAGGCCCAATTTCACCGATTTGAAATCGGGGCCCATCTGGATCGTCGATCTTGAAGATCGACGGCCCAGATTGCACCATTTCAAATCGGTGAGGGCGGGAACTACCGGCCCCCGTTCCCTCCCCCGTGCTGAAGATGTGCCCCTGACGTCCCCCCTTCCCTGCCTTGCAGCACTGTTGTGTCCGCCAGCCTTCAACGCGCAACTTCAACGCGCAACTTCAACGCTCTTCTTCGACGCAACCCGCCAGCACCTGCCAACGCCCGCCATCGCGCGTGACCCCACCGTCGCGCGTGACCCCACCGTCGCCCGCCAACGACCGCCTTCAACAAGGTAAGGGACTTAGTTGGGGGGAGAGAGAGAGAGTGTGTGTGTGTGTGTGTGTGAGAGAGAGAGAGAGAGAGAGAGAGAGAGAGAGAGAGAGAGAGAGAGAGAGAGAGAGAGAGAG